AAAAAATGAGGAATTTCAAATAGTTAATTTGATACTAATATCGATATATTTTTGTCAAATTTTTATGATATCTTCAAACATATATTTTATTCAAAAATGAAAACATCATCGCTTTCTCAAAATCACATAAAGTCATATTATAACATCGACTGAGATAAAAAAATAAAATGAAATATTAAAATCACGATGTTTCCCGCTGCATTGCGCGTGTACGCTTCTAGTATTTAGTAAAAATAACCATTTTATTTATCACTTTTAAAATGTCTTATCATATTTAACAATAAAACATGATCGATTTATAATAGATATAATTTTAAAATATAACTAATTTTTATGAATTAAAATCACGAATATTGTCTTTGATATACATTAAAAAAAACCATACTGCAAAAATCTATTACTGTTTGGTTGGTTTTTCATTAAATATGTATAGATAAAATCATCTGTAAAGATTAATCTGATTGTATAAATTAAATAAATGTTTGTTTTCAAGGGTTTTTCCATAAATAAAATGAACATGTGTTTTTAATTGGCAGAGACAAGTTTGAAAAAAAAATGGTTTTTTGTATAAAGTTTACTGAATAAGTCATTTTTTATATTATTAAACTATTATCAGATAAATTATAAATCTCATTAAACTCATTAAATTATTAAGAAACAGACTCTTAGTAAAAGCGCTCTCTCTCATCCATTTTTTCTTTTTGAAGACACAAAAAAAAAAACTTTTATAAACCCTAGTTTTAATTGAAAACTGAAACCCTTTGTAGTTATTTTATTTATTTATTTTAATGATGTTTAATTTATATGATTTAAATATGAATTTTTAAGAGTTTGAGAATGAAATAAATTATCTCAATCACTTTTTAAAAATTTACTAGAATGATACTTGTGTAATACAGCGAGATAAATTAACCAGAGTAATTGAAGTCTCGTTTTGTATTATGGTTTGTATTTTTATTATGTATTCATATTGCCCTCTGACAAAAATAGAACTTTAAACAAAATTATTTTGATTCAACCATCTCTTTCTCGACCGAATCTTCTACTGATACATGGACAAATGTGTGCAAGCTTCTCAACTTCTTTTCATCTGCTTATACGAGAAAGGCCTAAACAGAGCCTTGGAAGAGGCATCTACTTATGATCTCAATTATCCTTTAACCTAGCTATGTTAGGCTCTTTAACCATTGTTGTACTGACCCCTAATTGAATAGTTTGGGATTCAGAAGTGAAAGAAATCATTTAGTTGATTATATCTAAATTTGGAGGCACAAATAATTTTAATTAATCATGGGTAGTGATACTATTGCTGACATAATAACCTCTATACGAAATGCCGATATGTATAGAAAAAGCGTGGTTCRAGTAGCATCTACTAATATCAGCCAAAGTATTGTTAAAATACTTTTACATATCTCGATTTTGATGTTTCGGTTTATTCATCTTCCCTGTCGATATAATACGGTTTTATGTAGTTTTTAGAAAACGATATATTTTTATTTTCAAATGAAATATAAATTTGAAGAAAAATATATCGATATTAGTATTAAATTAACTATTCAAAATATTTTTTTAATGTAATTTCTTTAATTTAATTTATTATTATTATTATTTAAT